AACTTTCCACGAAGTTGTGACTTCTCCTGAGAGTCCTTTATGGAAAGAAGCGATTAAAAGTGAGATTGACTCCATCTTACAGAACCACACCTGGGAGTTGGTAGTTTTACCTCCAGGTTGCAAGCCTTTAGGCTGCAAATGCATTTTTAAAAGAAAGATGAAGGCCGATGAGTCAATTGACAAGTATAAGGCGAGGCTCGTTATCAAAGGATACAGACAACGAGAAGGCCTGGATTACTTTGATACGTACTCACCTGTAACTAGGATGACATCCATTCGCATGGTGATTGCGATAGCAGCTTTGCGCAATCTTGAGATACACCAGATGGATGTAAAGACAGCTTTCTAAAATGGGGATTTGAATAAAGAAATCTACATGGAGCAACCTGAAGGGTTTTCAGCTCCAGGACAAAGCAAGAAAGTCTGTAAACTTGTCAAATCTTTGTATGGTTTGAAACAAGCGCCTAAACAATTGCATGAGAAGTTTGACAATGTAATGTTGTCAAATGGGTTTAGAATCAATGAATGTGACAAGTGTATTTATGTCAAAGACATTGACAGAGGTTATGTCATTTTGTGTCTATATGTTGATGATATGCTCATTATAGGTAGTAACGATGAAATGATCAAAACTACCAAAAAGTTATTAAACTCTAAGTTTGACATGAAGAATATAGGCATTGCAGATGCTATTCTGGGAATTAAGATTATCAGAATCTCTGACGAAATTGTACTTTCTCCGTCTCATTATGTTAATAAGATACTTGAGAAGTTTAATGGATCAGATACGAGTGTGTCATCGACACCTGTAGACTTAAGTCTACATTTTACTAAGAATAATAATGAAAGTGTCTCATAGTTAGAATATTCTCGGGTAATTGGAAGTTTAATGTATCTGATGAGTTGTACTAGGCCGGATATAGCTTACTCGGTTAGTAGGCTTAGTAGATACACAAGTAATCCTGATGCTTATCATTGGAAGGGCATTATGCGGGTGTTAAGGTATTTATGCTACATTCGGGATTATGGGCTGCATTATACTCGATATCCAGCGGTGCTTGAAGGATATAGTGACACGAATTGAATATCAGATATAAAGGACTCAAAGTCCACTAGTGGATATGTGTTCACTCTTGGTGGGGCAGCCGTGTCTTGGAAATCTTCCAAGCAAACGTGTATATCTAGATCAACGATGGAATCAGAGTTTATTGCTTTGGATAAAGCAACGGAAGAAGCAGAATGGCTTCGCCATTTCATTGAAGATATTCCACGTTGGTCTAAACCTGTGCCAGCTATTTGTATTCATTGTGATTGTCAATCTGCAATTGGTAGGGCACAGAGTAATATGTATAATGGAAAGTCTAGACATATCCGTCGTAGACGTAATTCCATACGACAACTACTCTCGAATGGAGTTGTCTCTTTAGACTATATAAAGTCTAAGGACAACATTGCGAATCCGTTAACCAAAGGGTTAAGTCGAGTGTTAGTCGAAACGTCGTCAAAAGGAATGGGGTTGAGGTCTTTGGAAGTTACCGGAATGGAAACCCAACCTAGTTGACTGGAGATTCCAAGATCTAGGTTCAATGGGACAACCTAATTGCGTGTAACGGTGATATGTCACTGAGGAGGTTAAACCTCCAGCCATTCCTTCTATCAGTGATACCTGAAAGTGTAGAGGTTAAGCTGAACTTTTAATGACTCTAGTGTGTTAAGCTGTTGAGCTGAGTATTGCAGGATACTCAAGTAGAGTCACCTATGTGAGTGTGAAGTGGGGCCGCCTAGAAGAATTGGGCAGGCCAAGATTCTTTGAAACCACTCGCTGAACCAGGCTAGTGTCTAGGGCCACACAGGGCACACCAGTGAGAACAGAATGGTGGTAGGGGTAATTTCCGTGTGAGATCTATTGTCTCAGTTTACATAAACGGCAGAGCAGTTCAAGATGTCTTAATCACTGATCAGCCAGTAAACTCGATAGGTTTTCACTAGGAGAGGTTCAAGGCCAAAAGCTACCTTTTCTGATGTCGGGGTTAGTTCGTTGTACTCTCTCTTCGAGTCATTATTGTTGAACGATATCCGTTTGTTGAGTCTTTCGGTCAATTTTTATGCATGTGGGGGATTGTTGAAAAAAATGATTTTTGGTGACTTTAATTTAATATTAAAGTGTGGTGACTTTAATTAAATATTAAAGTGGGTCCCAACCTTTTATTGTGTTAGGTCCAAGTGAGCCAAAAATCATTAGGTTTTGAATAAGAAATTGCTAAAAAATTGCCTCATGATGTTAGATTCATGAATAGGATTTTAAAGAGTATTTAAATCCTTTTTTCTTAGCTAAAGGGTGTGAATCCTTTGGGCATCCAAACTTTCATATTTTTGGAAAGGGGCTATGGATGCTTGGTGTTTTAATGACCAGCCTTAAAGGCTGGAGGCTCTACTTCTCTCCACTGTATATGTATAAATTGAGACCCTCCTATCAAGTTTCAATATAGAAATTTTTTTGCTTCCATTTTACAAGTCAATTTGCCAGAAAGTTTCTACATTGAAAGAGTGCTGTCACTGTTCTTGTTCGCTAAGCTAGATAGAAAGTGTTTCGGCCATAGCTGGTTTTGACCGTCGTATCCTGGAAGACAGATGCCGGGATTCCTCAAGCACTCGACCCGTGAGGCGGCGAAATCTGTTTTAAGGAAACTGTTTCCATGCAGGCTTCGATTTTGTCTCTTTACCCTTTTATTGTTTTGTGTATTTCTGTTGAAATTTAATTGTAATTATCAGCATATGTTCTTGATATATAATTTGATTTCTTCATAAATCTATTTATTTAATTTCACAATTTGAACAACACAACTGTACTGCTTACTGAAATGTTAGTGTTCAATGAATGAATGTTTGTCCTATTTGTAAACTGTACTCATGGCATCCAAAGCAAACTACTGTTACTGTTACTGTGACTGCTACTGTGACAGAGATTTCTGTCGGCCCAAATGTTGGGACCACTACTGTTCCCTGTTTGATGACCATCAACTGACTGTTCGGTCTGTTAAGACCTACTGTACTGCTTTGCTATTGGATGTACCACATATGACTTTATGTTTCCTAAATGACTGTTATGACATGAAATATGAGCCACTGATTGAATAACTGATATAATTCACTGTTTTAATTACTGAAAGGACATTCATTTTTAACCCTTTTACACATATGTTATTCACTGGATTTTAACTCACTGTTTATATTTATATGTAGGTGTCCAGGCACCGGACTGATACTAAGAGTGTCAGGTTAAGCTCCCGTTTTGTCAAGCCAGCCGTTGTGCCTCACCTCAAGGTTCCTAGTTCATTCAAGCCAAGGCTGCTTTGGGGTGTTCAGGACCACCCCTTTGTCTCTGTTTTGTAATAAATGAATAAGTTTTGATTGTACGGTTATGTTGAAGGGACTTGGTCCCTAACCTGGATGTTATGTATATGTATATATGTTTTGTTTATCAACGTGACTTGTGCATAAAGTCTTTTTGGCATTCAGACTGTCACAACTCATTAGACATATTTTATTTACTGTTTTGGCTTCCGCCAGCCTATTTACTCTGTATTACTGTTATTACTGTTAAGCAGACCTTCGGTAATCACGAATTACTGGCCGGTTACGATACTTAACCCATAGAGACGGGTTTGGATCGTGACACCCAAGCCTCGAGTGGGCCTCAAAGCGGACTGGTGAACTAGGCTTCGGGCTAGGCCCCAAAACCCAAGCCCCAAGCTCAAGCCCAAAGGTCATAGGTTATGCTTGGATTTAGACTCAGACCTGGTCTGGCCACTATAAGCCACCTGCAGACTTTGGGTGAAGAGCGAGTCCGTGAACCAATTTTATACATTAAGTAGACTATATTTAAAAATATCAGGTGGCATTATTTAAATTTATAATTTTTAAAATATACGAACTAAAAAATTACATCAAAATTGAAGTACATTTCATGTCACCCACTATAATGTATAAAATTCCTTTCAATCATTAATCCGTAAAACTCATACATATTAATGATTGAAATTCACATTATACTTGATGGCAGTGAGTAATTGCTCAATCCTAGAAAGTTAGGGGAGAGCTTGTGGTCCCGAGGGCTAGAGAGAAAAATTAGGGGAGAGCTTGTGGTCCCCAGGGCTAGAGAGAAAAATTCTAGATGCTCAATGACACAAGGCTTACGTTTTTTTTTACATCATCCCAACCCAAACATGTTTGCACACCTTACTTGACTTCCCTCTCTTCCTCTCTGGTCCCCCTTCCAATGCGCGCTCGCTCGCTCTCTCTCTCTCTCTCTCAAATAATTAATAAACAAAATTGTAATATATAAAATTCATATAAAATAAGAGTAATACTAGAGATCCTAAATATTCTATCAAAAATTTTACCAAATGTCTCACATAGTCCCACACTATGTGAGACATTTGGTAAAACTTTTGGTAAAATATTTAGGGTCCCTAGCATTTTTGATAAAATAATGTGTGAGTAATATTTTTATAATTTTGAATCATAATAATAAGCATTTTATCTATATATATTCATACACAAATTTACAAACAACATTTTAATAAATAAAATTAATACAGAATCATATAAAATTAGCATATTTATAATTATGAGACATAATAATTGATATTTTACTTTAATAAAATAAAAGAATTACAAAAGTCCACGTGATTCACTTTGTATGAAATTTTTGTGAAAAATGTTATAGATTTTAAATTTTTTACCAAATAAATATGGATTACATACTCATGTGAAATATTTGGTCATTTATTTGGTAAAAAATTTATTATCTTTAACATTACCCAATTTTTATATATCTATACTACAATCCCAGATCTTTTTAAAAATTCATTATAATGTTTTTTTTTAATTGCTCACATAATTGTCAATTTTTAATTTTATAAATTTTTAAATTTTAGAAACTTCGTGTGTGGTGTGCACACTTTTCTTATATATATACATGAACACACACCCTTTAATCACAACACAAAAAGCTACTTTCACACACACATACATATATATAAACCATTACACACACCTCTTCCTATTACCTCCAATCCTTTCAACATTCTCTCTCAAAAAACAAAACCGAAAAAAAAAAGCTCAGTTATCTGAAACCACCATGGAACAACCACCATCCCACATAGCCATAGTTCCAACTCCGGGGATGGGCCACCTCATCCCCCTGGGTGAGTTCGCCAAGCGGCTCATCCACCACCACCACTTCTCCGTCACCTTCCTCGTCCCCACCGACGGCCCTCTCTCCGCCGCTCAGGAAGCATTTTTCGAATCGCTTCCTGACGGCATATCTCACATCCTCCTCCCTCCGGTGAATTTCGACGACTTGTCCGAAGACGTCAAAATCGAGACCCGGATCTCCCTCACGATGGCGCAGTCTATCCCGTCGCTCCGTGAGGCGGTCCGGTCCCTGGTGGGGTCGATTGGGTTGGTGGCTCTGGTTGTCGATCTCTTTGGCACTGATGCATTTGAAGTTGCAAGAGAATTCAATCTCTCTCCTTATATCTTCTTCCCATCTACAGCCATGGCTTTGTCTTTGTTTCTTCACTTGCCAAAGCTTGATCAAGCTGTGTCTTGTGAGTATAGAGACTTACCTGACCCGGTTCAAATCCCGGGTTGTGTACCGATTCATGGAAAATATTTGTTGGACCCGGTTCAGGACCGGTCCAACGACGCCTACAGATGGGTTCTTCACCACACGAAACGGTACCGTTTGGCTGAGGGTATAATGGTCAACAGCTTCAAGGAGTTGGAAGGTGGAGCCATAAAGGCTTTGCAAGAGCAAGAACCCGGTAAGCCTCCCGTTTACCCGATTGGACCGCTTATAAATATGGATTCAAGTAGTGGGGTTGACGGGTCGGAGTGTCTGAGGTGGTTGGATGATCAGCCACGTGGCTCGGTTTTATTCATTTCGTTCGGGAGTGGAGGGACCCTCTCATATGATCAGCTCAATGAGTTGGCCTTGGGTTTGGAAATGAGTGAGCAACGATTTTTATGGGTTGTTAGAACTCCAAATGATAAAGTTGCCAATGCTTCATACTTTAGTGTCAATAGCCAAAATGACCCTTTTGCCTTCTTACCCAAAGGGTTCCTAGATAGGACCAAAGGGTATGGTCTAGTGGTGCCATCTTGGGCCCCACAGGCTCAAATTCTAAGCCATGGTTCGACCGGTGGATTCCTGACTCATTGTGGTTGGAACTCAACACTCGAGAGTGTGGTTCATGGCATTCCATTAATTACTTGGCCACTCTACGCAGAACAAAAGATGAATGCTGTAATGTTAACAGAAGATCTGAGAGTTGCTTTGAAGGTGAAAGTTAGCGAAAACAGCATTGTTGGCCGAATTGAGATTGCAAAAGTTGTCAAGGATCTAATGGAAGGTAAAGAAGGGAAACAGGTTCGTTGCCGAATGAGAGACTTAAAGGATGCCGCTGCAAAGGTGCTGAGCAAAGATGGTGACTCGACAAAGTCACTTGCCGAGTTGGCTGAGAAATGGAAGAATAGAATGAGTAATTAATTAGACTAGTGTTCATCTACCTTGATTCCTCTTTTCATTAGTTAACATATAATTTTTTAGAAAAATGTATAGAAAAATAATGCAGTGTTGTCAATACTGTATTCTATTCTGTGCATCTTTCTATGAAAAAAATTCTATGTTAATAACATTTATGCTTTGTTTTTCATTTTATTTTCCTATGTGTCATATGGTTTAATACTACATGCATGTATGTATGCTCTTTTGCTTTTGCTATTGAAGTTGCAATTGGTCTTGCATAGCAATCATTTTGTTTGAACCCATGGATCTTCTTTCCTGCTTTAATTATAATATAGTTTGGCTAAGTATCCCAAAAAAAAAATTATTCAAAACTTTTATTTAGAATTGAAATGTGAACAAGTTTTATTGTTGGTCTTACTTACACTCTACATTTTTTGATTACTTTTTTTAAGTAATGATATATAATTTAAATATTACATTATTATTTTAGAATAATGGAATTATTACATTGAAATTTACCATTTTAAATTAAAATATTTATTTAAATAATATTTAATTATGTAAATATCACTGTTACATTATTATGATGATAAATTTTAATGAATTTTCTTTTATTGGTTTTAATATGAGAGATGTGGGTGAGATGGTTGTATCCACAAACATGCAACACGAGGGCCACTAACCAATAGAGATAGAGGGGTGGACCCAACTAGTGAGAAAAAAATTTGCAGTTCAGAACAAAATGGTTGCCACTGAGTCTCCGTTTGGGACTTACCTTTTTAGTTAAAAAATCAAAAAGTTATTTTTTTAGTCAAAAAGTTAACAACTCATATTAAAAAGTTAAAGGGTTCGTTTGGTTTGAATTTCCCAAAAATTTTTGGGAAAATTTCTCTACAAATAAGTTTTCAGAAAAACTCAAACCAAACAAATTTTCTCAAAATTTTTTTCCAAAACTTGTAAACCAAACAAGTTTTTCAAACAAATCTCTCTCTCATACACATCAAATCAATCACTTTTTTCAAAACTCTCTCTCAAAATAATTTTTCAAAACATCTTTCCAAAAAAATCAAACCAAACAACTTTTCGTACTTTTTATCTCCCAAACTCATCTCCCAAAATCAAACCAAACAAGCCCAAAGATTTTCTTTTCTCTCTACTTTTTGCACATATTTTCATAATTAGCCAAAAAATTATCCCAAACATATAAATTTTTTTTACCTACTTTTTTAGCAAAATAATAAAAAAATTACTAAATTAGCATATTCCCAAACGAGGCCTAAAACATGAATGGAGAAGCGGGGTGACCTAACTACATTAATTATATATATATATATATATGGTTTCACTTCTTTCATATTGGTTTCAACTTAAAAAAAGTATTTAGATTTAGGCCCCGTTTGGGAAGAAGGATGAGATTTTTTTGGTTATTTTAGTCACAAAAGATAAAATAGGCTATTTTAAAATAAAAAATAAAACATCACATCCAACCCATAATCATTACACTCTTTTCTCACAAAAAAAAGTCAAAAAGTCCTTTCCAAACCAAACTTTTTAGCCCAGGTTAAAATAGTCAAAAAAGCCAAAAAGCCAAAAAGTCAACCCACTTCCCAAACCAACCCTTAGTGGCTCATTATGAGTTAAATCTCGGTTATCTGAATCATTCATTTTTTCAAATTTATTGAGAAAAGTATTCATGTAAAAAATCAATATGATTAGATTTTAATAGTTATATGTTTGAATCATATTTGACTTAAAAAATGGATGGCAAATATAATTTCAACAACAACTGTTTAATTTTTTAAAAATAAATGTGATTCAAACATATAACTACCGAAATATAATCATTTTGATTTTTTATATAAATATTTTTTTCAACAAATTTTAATCGAATCACCGAGATTTGGCTCACAATGAGCCTAATAATCCCAAATATTATAACAAATTAGATTCCACATGAGAGAAACATTAGAGAAGTCAATCCATATATATATATATACACAGGCTATACACATGTGATGTATCTATAAGAATGAAAGGTAGTTATAACTGTCGTCTGAAAAAATATATATATATATAGATGGAATAAAAATAAATTAAGAAATTAAAATTCAAAAAAAAAAATATAGACAATTATATAAGGATAATTTGGATATTTAAAAAGAAAAAGAAAAAAAAAGCTTTAGTTTCAATAAGTGAATTGTGTACTTTATATAATAGTGCCTATATATAAAAAATAAACAGATGTTGAATGGTGATCGAAAAGGTAATCTCAACTCTCACCTTGTTCATTTTTAAATTTTGTTTTATATGATGTTTGCATTTTTCCTCCCTTTTTCATAATTGACGAGTTTTAGAACGGCATCATTAGTAATTTCAATTTGCATTGCTTTACTATTTACCAATACACTGCGTGCTACTGGCAAACCTTTTACTTTAGGCCTATTTTGATATGTGAATTAAAATACAATTTTTTAGTTTTTTAGTTTTTTTGAGTTATCTTATCCCTCTACTTTTTTTTGCACGTTTTTTCAAAGAAATAAAAAAAAAAAAGACAAAAAATTGAATTTTAATGGGAAAAAAAAGGAAAAAAAAAAGGAGAGGAAATTATTAGTTAGGTACTTATTAGTTTGGTAAAAAAAAGGAAATTTCCCCACTAGCTAGATACTTATTAGTTTGGTAAATAAATGGAAAAAAAACGTTATTTTTATATGATTTTTCCTCTTTAGTGGGGAAATTATTTTTTAAAAATTTAAAAATTTAAAAATATATACACATATATTTATATTTATTTTAAGCAAATTAGTTTCTATATTTTGAAAAAAAAATATGAAAACAAAATCAATGTAATTTTTAGATTTGGGATTTTGATGTGCTTTCAGTAGGAATGGCAACAGGCCGGGCCGGGGCTGGGGATCGCACTTCCCGTCCCCGATCCCCGAAGGTGAAAAAATTCCCGTCTCCGCCCCTCAAAACTTGTAAACCAAACAAGTTTTCCAAACAAATCTCTCTCTCATACACATCAAATCAATCACTTTTTTCAAAACTCTCTCTCAAAATAATTTTTCAAAACATCTTTCCAAAAAAATCAAACCAAACAACTTTTCGTACTTTTTATCTCCCAAACTCATCTCCCAAAATCAAACCAAACAAGCCCAAAGATTTTCTTTTCTCTCTACTTTTTGCACATATTTTCATAATTAGCCAAAAAATTATCCCAAACATATAAATTTTTTTTACCTACTTTTTTAGCAAAATAATAAAAAAATTACTAAATTAGCATATTCCCAAACGAGGCCTAAAACATGAATGGAGAAGCGGGGTGACCTAACTACATTAATTATATATATATATATATATGGTTTCACTTCTTTCATATTGGTTTCAACTTAAAAAAAGTATTTATTTTTTGGCACCGTTTGGGAAGAAGGATATGTGATTTTTTTTGACTATTTTAGTCATAAAAGATAAAATAAGCTATTTTAGTCATAAAAAATAAAATATCACATCCAACCCATAATCATTACGCTCTTCTCTTACAAAAAAAAGTCAAAAAAAGTCAAAAAAGTCAAAAAGTCCTTTCCAAACTAAGCTTTTTAGCCCAGGTTAAAATAGCCAAAAAAGCCAAAAAGCCAACCCACTTCCCAAGTTAAATCTCGGTTATCTGAATCATTCATTTTTTCAGATTTATTGAAAAAAATATTTATGTAAAAAATCAATATGATTAGATTTTAATAGCTATATGTTTGAATCATATTTGACTTAAAAAATGGATGGCAAATATAATTTCAACAACAACCGTTTAATTTTTTAAAGACAAATGTGATTCAAACATATAACTACCGAAATATAATCATTTTAATTTTTTATATAAATATTTTTTTTAACAAATTTTAAAAAATGAACAATTCGAATCACCGAGATTTGACTCACAGTGAGCCTAATAATCCCAAATATTATAACAAATTAGATTCCACATTAGAGAAGTCAATCCATATATATATATATACACAGGCTATACACATGTGATGTATCTATAAGAATGAAAGGTAGTTATAACTGTCGTCTGAAAAAATATATATATATATAGATGGAATAAAAATAAATTAAGAAATTAAAATTTGAAATAAAAAAATATGGGCAATTATATAAGGATAATTTGGATATTTAAAAAGAAAAAGAAAGAAAAAAGACTTTAGTTTCAATAAGTGAATTGCGTACTTTATATAATAGTGCCTATATATAAAAAATAAACAGATGTTGAATGATGATCGAAAAGGTAATCTCAACTATCACCTTGTTCATTTTTAAATTTTGTTTTATATGATGTTTGCATTTTTCCTCCCTTTTTCATAATTAACGAGTTTTAGAACCGCATCATTAGTAATTTCAATTTGCTTTGCTTTGCTATTTACCAATACACTGCGTGCTACTAGCAAACCTTTTACTTTAGGCCTATTTTGATATCTGAATTAAAATTTAATTTTTTAATTTTTTAGCTTTTTTGAGTTATCTTATCCCTCTACTTTTTTTTGCACGTTTTTTTAAAGAAGTCAAAAAAAAAAAAGACAAAAAATTGAATTTTAATGGGAAAAAAAAGAAGAAAAAGAGGATATTATTAGTTAGGTACTTATTAGTTTGGTAAAAAATAGGAATTTTCCCCGCTAGCTAGATACTTACTAGTTTGGTAAATAAATGGAAAAAAAAATGTTATTTTTATATGATTTTTCCTCTTTAGTGGGGAAATTATTTTTTAAAAATTAAAAAATATATACATATATATTTATAGGAAAAAGATCGATGCCTAAATCATGTCACTACGTTGATTTTTTCGAATTGCCCCTTTTTTTTTTTTTTTTTTAACTGTGTTGGTTTTGTTGTGTTGTTTTTTTTTTATTATTATTTTTTTATTTGTTGGGTTGTGTTAGTTTGGTTGTTTTTATTTATTTATTGGGCAGTTGTAATTTTATTTATTTATTTTTAAAGGATGATTATGTGTAGGGGTGGGTTTAGAGTTTAGGATTTAATATTTAAGTTTTTATTTCTTCTGAGTCTTTCTTATTTGAAATAAAAATATAGTAAGGATTCGTACAAAATTATATAAAATTAACAAATTTTAACCAGCAGTCTAATTGATCAATTAATTTTATCACCCAATCAATCTAACCCAATTGTTTTTTTTTTTTTTCTATTTGTTGGGCTATGTTGGTTTTTTTTTTAATTTGTTAGGCTGTGTTGATTTATTTATTTTTTTATTAGGATTTAAATTTTAAGATACACATAAAAACCTTTCCAAAAAAA